AAGAGTGTATGAAGAATTACACAACTAGAAAGCTCTTGAATATGCTGCAGTCACAAATCTTGAGCCCCCTCTTCCCCACTTCATCCACTGGCTTTTCCAGGAAGTCAGAAGGATGGAGGATTGTGTGATGCCGGAGTGAAGAGGTGGGAGGGGAATGCTGGGGCTGTCCTGAAGCTCCTTTGTGTGCCATGTTCTTTTCTGTGGGAGCAGTGTCAGGTTCTGCTTCTGTAACAATGAGCCAGGCAGGAGGGATTTACTGTGTGGTATCTCTCTTTCTTTCAGGGAAATGGATTTATGAGGTGCTCATCTCCTCCCAGGGACTCATGCAGATTGGCTGGTGTACTCTCAGCTGCAGATTTAATCAGGAGGTAGTGTAACTGCTGCACATGGCACAGGGCTGCTCTGTGTTCTTCCACTGCTTTTTAGGTCAGGGTGGAGCATTGCATTGATGCTGTGCTCCTGCCCTGCTGGCATTTTGTGCCCAGCACACACACTAGAAGACACCTGGTCTGCTGTTTTAAAAATCTTTACTGGACTTTCTTGTCTGTGTTCACAGAATGGTGCACAATGTGAAAGCCTTGCACGCTGGGTGTGTTGCTGTGCTCTTGCTGCACATAGCCATTGCTATGTGTTGATTTTCAGCTGGCATCTTCTCCAGAGAGTGTGTGGGTCTGCCGTGCTGGCAGCCCGTCTCGGGATGGCCCTCAGCAGCTGGTGCTAAGGGGCTTTTTTGCCCAGGAGAGGCAGGCCCAGGCCAGCTCTTCTCAGGCAGTGGGTGGGATGTTTGATGCTGGGACGGCATGTCAGCTGCAGAGTTTCACTAACTTGCTGCTCTGCAACATGTGAGAGGGGAGATGACTGGCATCCTGGGGGGCTGCTTTGACAGAGTTTGGAAGTGTAGTATGCCAGTATTATTCTTCTGACCCAAAAATGAGTAGGGAATGGTGTATTTCTCTGAACCAAAGATCACAGGCCATTGGATTCACTCCTAGAGTGAAGGCTTTTCCCAGACAGAGCATGTGTGCTGTCAGCTCCTCTCCCTACCTGCTGGGTCTCCCCCTTAAAGCCACTCTTGCAATGAGAGGGATCCCTTATGCTTGGTCTGGTCTGAGTCTCCTCTTTCATACTTTGGTGCAGGAAGGAGTTGGAGATACGCCAGATTCATATGCGTATGATGGAAACAGGGTGCGCAAGTGGAACGTGACTACGACCAACTATGGCAAAGTGAGTAGCTGTCCTGCCAGGAACAGGATGTAGAGTAAGGAGAAGAAAGCAGGTGACTCCTCCTGCTCCCTGGATTGTGCTGGGCCCTGTGAAGTGCCCTCAAGCTATCCTCTCTGCTTCAGTCTGCTCTTGGGGAGGCTGTGTGCCAGCAATTGTTTGTACTTTAGGGGTGCTGGACATACTATGTGGGTGCTTTGTTTAGCAGCCCCAGCAGACTGATTCCCAGCATAGTGCTGCTGTTGGTCTCTGGAAGGCTTTGGTTCTCTGTAGCATGTCAGAGGATGATGCAGTGTTAGGATAAATATAAGTTTGGTCCTGTGCATGTTCCTAGTGCTGGAGGGAAAAAAGATCCCAATCAGTGGCTTATGTGCAGCTTCCAGAAGTATCTGAGAATGCTATGTGAGCTGCTGTGAGAAGGAACTCTCTCTTCTTCAACCCTGAGTCACAAGGGATTGGTTGGGTTGCAGTCTTTCCTCTGATGTGGGAACACCCTGGATATATGTTTAACCTTTTCTCTCCCTTTACTGCAGTCCTGGGCAGCAGGAGACATCGTCAGCTGTCTGATAGACCTTGATGAGGGCACCATTGCTTTCTGCTTGTAAGCATCTTTGCCCAGTTCCCTGCTTTGTTGATGTCTGTGTGTAACATAAAGGTTTCCTCACTGCTCAGCAGGTTGCCCTCTCCCCTTTAAGTTCCTTGGTAGTTCCAGCCTTTGCTTCCCTGCTTTGGGTTCAGAAACCATCAAGCTGGGCTGTTGAGTCTCCTAAGTTCAGGTGAGAGCATTTGGCAGAAAGACGTTCAAGCTATAAAGTCTGTGTAAAGCTTGCTAGGATTTTGCAGGGGAGGGCATCTCTCACGATGCTTAATACTACAGTTGGCTGAGCCACACTGATTGCTTTTGTGTGGCCAGTGTAGACCTTGTGTGTCCTAGATTCACAAGGAGCTGTGGAAAGACCAATAAATCTCCAGCCTCCAACTCCTGTGCACAATAAGCAGAGACCAGCCTGAATAAGAATTGTTCCCTAGCCCTAAGCTACAGCCTGCGACAAGTCAGCCAGAATTAAAAACGGTTAGATGCTCCATGTCATCTTTTAGAGAAGAGCAGATTGAGGGCATTATCCTTCTATTTCCACCAACATCAAATGGATGAGGTCAAAAATGTCACCTGCCTTTAAAATGTCTTCCTGGTTAGTTATCTCATAAGGATTTGGGTTGCCCTTGAAGCTGAGTGGGCTCTGCATATTGTGCTGACTCCAGTGCCTTCCTGTGCCATCGTATGAAAATGGGAGGGCTGCTCAGGGCTCTTGCTCAGCAAAGCTGTGACGTTTGCATGTGTGCCAGGTTAAGAGTGACAGGAGGCATGACTGACTGATGTGTCCGTGTTGGCAAGTTGCTGGGAGGGGAATGTGGATACCTGGATTCCCCAGCTGACCTCAAAACCCTCCTACTGTGGCTAAAATCTTGTGGGTTTTCCTTCTTTCAGGAATGGCATATCTCTGGGAACCGCTTTTGATAACATCACGAGGGGCACTGGAATGGCTTACTTCCCTGCAATCAGCCTGTCGTTCAAAGAGTCTGTTGCTTTTAACTTCGGGAGCCGTCCACTCCGATATCCTTTGGGTGTGGGGAGAGGAGGTCTGAAGGGAGAAAAGCCTGTCCTGAGACCATCATTGGAGGCTGTAGAATGTACATACCTGACTGCAATTTACTTTCTTCTGTTGGCACTTATGCTCAGAGCAGGGTCAAGGAGAGAAGAACCGGACATCCCTCAGCTGGAGCAGAAATGCAGGGCACACAAACATCAGTGCGGTCCCTGACAGTTTCTGAAATGAGATTTGCTTTCAGCTCAGAATCAGCAGCTACTGCTGCAGCTGCAGGCTGCCTGTTCCCAGGCACTCAGATCCTGCAAAGATCTCACTCTCCAGCTTTGGAAACCCTTGTGCTGCTGAGCCTCTTGGCCACTGGTCTCTTCTACCTCCCAGCCATATGGGACCTCTGACATGGTGTTAGCGTTGCCTGCTGCCTTCCTGTGCAAATGCTGAGACCTGCAGCTCCTGTCGGAGCAGTCCTGGGTGTGCCTGTTGATAGCTGTAGTGGAGGCTCCTGTCGGTCTTTCTGATGAGAGCAGAATTGTGGTGTGAAATACTTGCTGCTTGCAATATTGAGGAAGTGGGAATAAGAGCTTGTGGCTTATCATCCGTTTAGAAGGCACTGTGGTTTGAACTGTGACTGAGGCGTGCGTGGGTATAAAGTAAAATAGAGACACGGTCTTTTCCTTGCACAAATAAAAGAAGTCCTGAAAGGATCAGATTGCATTTTACCTTAACACTTGCCTACTTATCCAGTGGAAGGTTACCGCCCCTTGCAAGATCCTCCTGTTGCAGACCTAGTGAAGGCTCGCAAGCTGTTAGGCTACTTGAAGAATGTGATCCATATCGGAATAGATGTGACAGTAGGCTAACGTCACTGGGTGGATCTGTGGGGCACCATGCTGGGAAATGTGGTTCTGCACTTCTCGGCACATGCTGGCAGCTCAGATGTTTCCATACACCTGAGAGTTTAAATGCTTGTGTGCTTTTGCATGGGGTGTGCATGTTCCTGGAGCTCTTCAGCTTGCAAAATGGGATTCCTGATAGTTCCAGGACTTAATTTAAATCATACTGGGCTTTGTTGTTCTCAGTCCTATGAAGTTTCATTCCCAGTATGCAAGAGGTGATGTTTGCCAGCGTCAGAACTGCTGGATTTGATTTTGCAGCCTTGAAAGAAGCTTGTTCATATCCTAAACTTTTTACTGATGTCCTGGTGCGATGATGTGGTGAAATTCTGTCAGGTCTGCCTTGAGAACCGTTTTGGCTGTGGCACTGTTCGCTAGAAGCCATTTTTTTCTGCTAGGGTGAGAGATGATCTGCTTATGCCCAAAGCATAGGGAATGCCATCTGCTATGGTCTTGGCTTGAATGGAGGCTTGCTTTACTGGTTGACCTCCTCTGTAGGGATTCCCATTTACAGGCTATCATGTACATTTGAACCCTTTTGGAAAAACCCCCATGTCAGGCATGCATGTGGCTGATAGTAAGCAACATCTGGACTGCACCAGAGCTCTCCAGAGGCATGGGCCTGGCTGCTTTGCCATCCTAAATTCCCATGTTCAAGATTTTTACTGCAATCAGGCATGGGACAGCAAACAGTGGCTGCTCCAGGCCTCCGATTCATTCAGTCATTGGTGTATGGGTGGATTGGGCTGGATCCAAGCTGTGTGTTTTTCTGGGTTTGTCATTGCAGGAGGGGAAGCTGGTGGAGAAGGACACGTCCATGTGGCAGCTGCAGGGAGAACCCACAGTGTTGATTACATTAGCCCACATCTTCAATTATTTCTCCCCTCTTATGGTGAGTTTTGCCTGCCCATTGCAAGCTTCTGTAGGTGCCTGTTATTGTGCTTGCAAGGGGAGGTGAACCTCAGCTTTCGCTGGGGAGTTACTGTGCCTTGGAGGTCTGTTGACCTGGCTCTCTGTCTGCAGTGCAAAGTGTACCTGGTCGAAGATGTGCTCATGACCTTCCTGTTGAGCATTCTTGAGCGAGGAGGGGCGGTGGAGGCCCATCCCCTTATTCAGCAGCTGCTGGATCTCATGTGGCTTCTTATGGAGGTGAGTTGCTAGGGTGCTGGTTCCTCCTCAGGGATCACAGGGAGACCCCGGGAGGTGCTGAGGACAGGAGCCTTCCCTAGAAAATGCCGATAGAGATCAGCTTCTTTCCCTTCCTGGTGACAAGATCCCTTTTTTTGTGGTAGACACCCTCTCACCTAGCTCATCTGGCTGCTGCTTCACATCTAGGGAATGAGGGTTGAATGCAGAGTAATTGGTAATGGTGACACTGGCAATGAGCTAACAAGGCATTTCTAAGCTTCTCCTACTGCTAAAGGAACCAGTCATATGGAATAACTTCCTGCTTCTGGAACGTCAAATTTATCAATAAGAAATGAGTTGGTCTCTTGGATGTTGTTAAAGCTTATGTGACTGTGGAGGTCTTAAATGCCACAATGTGTCCCAAGAGATAGATCAGAGCGTGCAGGACGGGGGTGGAAATGGGCACCGCACTCTCACCACCTCCAGGACCGCTGGGGAAAAACCTCCTCCAACTTCCATGCCCCTTTCTGTCCAAGCTGGATGAGGTCACTCCTTCCTGGGACAGGAAGGCTGAGGCAGCCTTTACTAGCCACTGGGAAGCTGCTGCTGCCGGAGTGCTGGGGTGGTTACACAGAGCCAAGCACTGCCGGGGGTCTGCTTGGAGACAGCATGTCTGTCCTTTGGGGTAACAATTAACAGATATGGGCACTGGCCCAGCCAGCTGTCATGAAAAGTTTAATTGAAAAATGTCATGACCCCCTCAGGCCCATCATCTTAGAACTGAAGCTGAACAGCCTGGTAGGGCTGCTGTGTTTGTGGAAGAGTTGGCTCTCATCCTCCTGCTTGACTATGAGTTGGACTCAGGACAGCTCTTCCATCATCACATTTACACAAGAGTAACTTCTTTTCTTTCTGCGTTAGTTCTGCCAACACTGTGTTGGGTAGGTTCAGGGGATACGAAGATGGGTGACTCAGCCCAACTAAATAGGACCTGGGACTTTGGGTTTTTGTAGATGATTTTTGGGTTGATTTTACTAGTGCAGAAATGTGTTTCCCTGTAGCAAAGCGATGGCACCAACTTCTGCTTGGACACTCTCCTGTGGAGTCAGATAGACAAACACTGGGCTCAGAGCACCTGCTTTTTCAGTTCAGAAGTAAATGCTTCCTCCTAAGGTCACACTCTGGGAATTATAGCTATTCCTGACTCCATGCTGTTGCTGTTCAACAAGTTTCTTATTTTCTCAGGAGTATGAAGTGCACGAGTGCCTCAAGCAGCTACTGATGTCCCTGCTGCGGGCTTACAGGTTCTCCCCCATCATCCCAGACCTGGGATTACAAGTGAGTTGCACTTCTGAATCCCCAGGAATCTGTGACTAGCCAGCTTCTGTTATGTCACCTTGTCCAAAGGTACACGATGTTTTGGATTTTGTGGTGGTTTGATCCAGAGATGACAGTTCTGTCACATTGTACCTGTTGGAGAGTCGTGTCCTCTTCTGTAGATGGAGTCACTTTTGTTTCTCCTGTTTCCCTAGATTCACTACCTCCGGCTCACCATTGCAGTCTTGAAGCATGAGAAATCCAGGAAATATCTACTCAGCAATGTTCTGTATCCTTTGTGCCTCCTCTAGTCTCAGTTCTCCCTGCCCTCAATAATGCAGCCAAGGAGACTTCAAGGATCTGCAGGTCCTGGGAGGCAGAAGCCACCCTGTCTTTGAGAGGTCATTTCTAATTTCTCAGGTCTCTTCTGTCTGCCTGACACCATTGTCTACAAAGTCCTGCTTTGAGGAGGGGGAGCAGTGTTGTATAGTTCACGTCCTACTAACACAGCGGACTTCATTTCTACCTGACTGAACTCTCTAATGTCCCTAGAGGAAAAAGACTTTCAGAACAGTCCAACTGCCATGCTAGCATTTGGGCAGCTGCTGTGATAATTCCCCCAGGAGAAGGGGCTCTGGATCTTGCAGAGCTTTGAGTGGTTGTTTGGAAAGGGGTCTCTCACTACAGCTCTGGAAACATGCCCTGTACCTTCTCCCGACATACCTTCTGTGCTTGCTTTAACGTGGCCGCAGCTTCGATGTGCTCCGTTCCGTTGTGTTCTTCTACATTAAGAGCCCGCTGCGTGTGGAGGAGGCTGGTTTGCAGGAGCTCATTCCCACCACGTGGTGGCCAAACCGCTTCACCAAGGAGGTGAGTAAGGGCACATCCACTAAGGAGACAAGAAATTTTGTGGCCTTCTGTCCCCATCATTTTCTGGCTGAGGAAATTGGATGGCCCATGTTTCCAGCTGCGCTAGCACTGGTGGACCCTGCAGAGCTGTGTGAGAGCTGTGGCCTCTCTATTGCCCTGACATCTTTATTGTCCCCTTAGAGGGGACGTTTGGGGTGTGTTGCTCGGGACAGGGGGGAGGGGGACAGTTTTCTGTGGCAACAGATTTGGAAGGGAACTTCACAGCATCTAAGGAATTACAGGTTGACTTGTGTGTCCTCAAAAGATCTCCTGCCCTCATCATTACAAAGCCAGGGAAGGCCTGTTCAGGTGTGCTGCCAGCTGCAGTCACATACTGGCACGTTGTTTCAGTAAGTTTCTGCTCTCCCTTTGGCAAGACATTTTCCCCGTGCAGTGATCTCCTACTAATCAGTGTCTGTCCCCCCAACCAGGGCAAGGAGAGTAAGGAGGTGAAGGAGGAGGGTGCTGAGGAGAGGCTGAGGCGGCGGGCATATGAAAGAGGCTGCCAGCGTCTCAAGAAACGCATTGAAGGTCTGTGAGTAAGGACGGAAATTGCGAAGATCCCATACCTTTTGTGCAGCCAGGGGGACCAACCCTTGAGCTGTTTCCAAATCCCCTTCATGACCTGAAGTCTGGCTGTGTTTCTGCCAGGACATGCTGTGCTGCAGAGGCAGGGACCAGCCATGCCGTTATTTGGTGGAAGGGCATGAGTGCTGGGACCCCACTGCACAGACCTGCAGCGTCCCACCATGGGACATGAGCAAACTGAAATTCCCCTTGATGGGCATTGTTTATCAGCTGTGGATGAATTTATTGCTAGGTGGCGGAGGAGAAAATTCTCACAGTGATGGGATTAGCATTCTGCTTGCACCGGTTCTTCCTGGGCCCCCTCTGCTGAGGAGGTAGCCTTTCTTCTGGGGACAGGGTACACAGTTGGGGTTAATATGGGTAGTTGCTCTCCAGCGCTTGTTTTCTGATGGCAGACATGTGTCCCCATTTTAGTGGTGGAAGGTCTCCAGGTTCAGATTCTGAAGCTGCTGTTGAACAACAAGGACAGAGGAGGGGTAAGTGCTCTGTGGATCTTTTGCTACAGTATCTCCACAGCACAGGACTTGTAAGGTATAGATTTACTATGTGCTTTTCCTCCTGCCAGGGGGAAGCCTCCAGATACATCTTCCTAAACAAATTCCGCAAGTTTCTTCAGGAGAACGCTAGCAACAGAGGGGTAAGTCAGAGGGCCAGCCTCCGTGCAAGCCTCACCCCAAGAGCTCTCTGGCACCCTGAGGCTGGGAGCTCTGCCCTTTTGGCTGGGCTGCTTCCAGGAGTTGATCAACTGAGGTCTAGGTACAGCAGGGAGTGGGGAGAAGATCTGAGGCTAAAAACCAGGCAGCTTATCCAAGTCCTATGCAGTGATTTATGGGAAAGTGGTCCTTGGGAACAGCCTTGGGTGGGAGCTGAATGTCCTCCTAAAACCTCTTGGGGAGCACGGCTGTGGAGTGCTCTGCCTGGCTTTGGCATCCTCTTCACTGCTTAGGTGGGGACTGTTCTGGCCCTGGATCGGGCTGTTGGCCTGCAGCTTTGGGAGGTAGGCGTCCACTGTTGCAGGAAACCCGTTCTTCACCTGCGTCTCTGCGTTCATGATCAGCCCCATCTTTCATGGTGGAGCACGTGGTATTCATCCTCCTCTGTCAGACCAGCTTGTTGTTTCAGTGCCCAGGACTTTCTGGAGGTGGAAACTGTTGCCTACCATCAGGGCTGGGCTCTCTCTCAGTGCTGGAAGCTAGACATAGTAGCAAGGCTGAGAACACAAAGTTTCTGTCCCATGTGGCCACTGGGACAAAGATGCACTTTCACACCTGCCCTGATGGTTGAACTCTCATTCTTGCCCTAGAACTTGACTGTGTTGTGCCCGCCAGAGTACATGGTGTGCTTCCTGCACCGGCTTATCGCTGCCCTGCGTTTCTTCTGGGATGGCCACAAGGCGAAGGCCCCTGCTGCACTGAGCAGTGAAGGTAAGGCCTGGAGGAGAAGCTTCGGGGACATTTCTGTGGTTAGGACAAGGTTTGCCTCTTGGCAGTCCTCTCCAGGATGCTGGAAATTTTGTGTTTTTCATGGGTGCTTGAGCCTTCTGTCACCCTGTGTCTGTAGTTCCCAGTCACCCTGGGAAATTCCTGTGTGCAGATCTACTCCAGTTAACATCCAGACCTGAGACTTGCAAAGGGACACCTGTACCATTTGCTAATTTCCCCTGTATGCTCTGGAGCAGAGTCCAGTATTGAGTATGGGTCTGTAGGAGGGCAGCTCAGTGATCCCATAGTCAAAGTTTAGGGGAAGATATTTGTCTGGTTTTGTGGTTCCCAGACTGTGGGATTAAGTGGAAACCAAGTCAGTGCCAGTTGCTTTCCTACCCTCAAACTGCACCTTGCCTCAATCTACTTGGCGTTCCCTTTTCCTACTTTAGGCTGACCCTTTCTCTAGACTCAATAAGTGCCTTATGATCCTTGTGGGACTAAGTGACAGAGCTGGAGTAGCACCTGGCTGATGAGTTTTCTGATGATCCAGTTTCCCCCAGTGACTGTGGCTGGGAGGGAGCAAGTGCTGGGAGGCTTGTTGTCGATGGCCATCGGTTGCTCCTGTTCCTGCGTGGATCTAATGCTTGCTTCGTTGTGGGAATCACTTCTGCCTTAATGGCTTGTGCTTTTATGACAACAAAAGTTGTCACTAAATGTTAGTCCGGACTGGGACTGGGGTCTGTCTTAGGAGGGCCTACATGTCTGTGTGGGTCCTATGCATGGGACTCGCGGAGAAAACAAATCTCCTTCTCTGCTTTAGAGGCATATGTCCCTCCTCAACTCTTCTATAATGGAAAGGTGGATTATTTTGACCTTCAGCGACTTGGAGGTCTCCTGTCTCATCTTAAGAAGACTCTGAAAGGTAAGTGCTCTTATTTCCAATACCTGCATCCAGGTCCTGGCTGGAGTTCACCCAAGAGATATCCCAGGGAGGGAGCCGTGGCTAATAAATTGTGATTAAATTTAAGGAGAGGACACTTGAATTTTAATGAGATGCAAGTTACGCTGAAGAAGACACCATCCCTCTTGGGTGGAGCATCCTTTAAGTTAACAGTTTACTGTTTATATCCCTGATATCGTCCTGTGGCTGTGGAAGGGGGTAGTCCGGGAATACCCTCTGGTGTGGTGCTCTTGCTGCACCACAGCCGAGGGCTGGGAGCCATCAAAGCGCTGACCGTCAGTCTGGGTCTGCTGGGTGTGAAGGATGTCCAGGATTTACTTGCTGTACCACTCTGGGCAAGTAGTAGCAGCCCTGCATATGTACTGCAGCTGTGTGTTTGTACGCAGCACACTGCTCTGGCAATAGACGTTCAAAGTTTCCCTTTTGGAAGGGTTAGAAACCCCTTGCCGTTTAGTTGGACTTGGTTTGTCTCTGGTTTCTGCCTAATGTGGCACTTGCCTTTGGCTCAGATCTCTCTTCTCCTTCCCCAGTGTGTTTGCAAGATTAGGACCATTTTCCCTGTCTCAGGTTGATCCCTGCCTGTTCAAAATTAGATTACTTAATTTGAGAACCATGTAATCTCCTCTGGTCTCTTACCAAGGTCTTCCTAGGCAGCTTTAAAGACAGGGCTATGGACTAGAGGACACGTTGTTCAGGCTTTGTACAGCATAGCCATCAGCACAGCCTTCCTCTGGGCTGAGAATGGTTTCTGGTCTGAGTCTCAGTCCTAGTGACTTGAGGACATATCATGGGACAGCATTGAAGAGCGGGATGCTTAAAAAATGGTCTCAGGCCCTGAGTTTCCTTCCCTACGCTAGTCCAGTTTGGCCCCGGTGGTTGTCTCCTGGTTCCTCAGTTATTCTGTTTGTTGCTGGTAGGACCAGGAACAGAAATGGGTCCTGGGTGAGCAGCACCCATCGCTGCTTGGTCTCTGCTGTGTTAGCAACAGCAGACCTATTCCACGTAAGGAAGCTGGGGGGAAGGTGAGCTTGTTCTGATGCAGCATCCAACTTCACTGGATGGTTCTCTACTGCCAAGAAGCAGGAAAGAGGATGAGCCTAGGGCTGCCTCATGGGAAGTGAAGGGTGACTCCTGCGTTCACAGCTGCTCTGGTGTGCTCTGTGCAGATGACCTGGCTGCAAAAGCCAATGTCCTGATCGACCCTGCGGAGCTGCAGGCAGTGACTATGGACGATCTCGATGAAGATGAGGAATCAGCAACATCGGCAGCACAGGTGAGCCGTGTACTGTTATTCACATGTGGGGACCCTGGTGCCAGGGCAGCAAGCTCAGCCTCTGGCTAGAAAAGCTTTGCTTTAGAGGAAGGCAGTGTCTGGGCCAGGACTGTAACCAGCCCATGGGCGGTCAGATAAACAGCTGCACTTGTATGAGGGTCACTGGAGATCAGTAAGGTCCTGGATGCACCAAGTCTGGGCAGCAAAATTTTCTTTGCTCTGCTCTCTCACTACCCACTCACCTGAATATGCCCACTCCCCTCCATGGCAGCTCTTGGTGCTTGCATTTGAAAGGGTGCATGGCAACTGCAGACAGAGCAGCTTCTTGCTGTGCAGATCTGCTGCTTGTGCCTGGCATGGGCCCTTAGAGGAAGGAATATCCATTTGGTAACCCGGCACTGCTGGCCCAGCCATGATAGGAAGGGTATCTTGGCCACCTTCCAGTGGCCACTGTGCATCTATAACAACATCCTTGCAGGGACAAGGGAGGAATAGCGGGCAGCCGAACAGCTAGAACTGTTTCTTCCTTAATTTCTTTTCAGTCTCAGCGTCCCTCTGCCGCCCTGGCCATTGGTGGAGCTCTTGCTAGACCTGGCTGGCTCAGCTCCCCCACCCTGGGCCGTGCCAACCGCTTCCTCAGCACAGCTGCCGTCAGCCTTATGAACCCACGTCGGCCTCTTGGCACCCTAGAGAAGATCAAAGTGCGCACGCTAAGTGTGGAGCAGCGGACAGAGGAGGACAGTGAGTACTTCTGCTGGGTGTTAGTGTGGCCCGGGTGGTCCTTAGGAGAACAGTGTCTTCTAGCTCCCAGTACTCTCAAGAGGAAAGCAATCTACTGCCAGCATTGCTCCATCCCATTCTCAGGACATGCTGACACTCACAAGTCCACAGTTAACCACTTTGCCATCCTGAACATGACACTGGTGATGGTGTCACTCTCTACTTGTACAAAGACGCTGCCTTGGTTCCTGCAAGTGCAGTGAGACTTTGCAGGGAGGTAGTTCAAAGGCAGCTGTAGCCATGCTTGCTCTGGACACAGACCAGCTGGAGGATGAGGTGTGCAGTAGCAGCACCGTTGCTGTTGGGGCAGGCCAGGCAGGCCTCTGAAACATGTACAGGGCTCGAGGAGATGGGACTTGCATGGACTGGGTCTGTTTGAACAGATCTGGCAGGTCAGCCTGGTGCAGGCAGTGAGATGTGAATGGTGTGTTAGTGTATCTAGTGAATCACATGGGCTGGGAAGGAGCACTGTGTTACGGAAGCACAGCAGGGCTTTGGCTTCAGAGAGGGGCAGGCAGAAGCTGAGGTGCCAAAATGCCTTGCTGAGAACTTCTCTTCTGTCTCGGGGTTGCATTTGCAGTTGAAGGCAGCCATGGAAATGAGGGTCTCTTACTGGGCAGACCCCCAGAGGAGCCGGACCAGCCCATCACAGAGAACTCCCTCCTGGAAGTCCTGGATGGGATAGTGATGATGTACAACCTCAGTGTCCACCAGCAGCTTGGGAAGGTAAGCGGCATGTGCTATACAGGAATCCATTTCCTCAACCTCCATGCTTCTACACTGACTCTGTTTTCTGCTTATTTAGTGACTGTGTATGCCCTTTCCTTCTCCTCCTAACCCCCATGGGGAATCTGGTTGCATGCTTATGTGTCTAGGGGAAAAAAATACCCTCATTTATTGTTGGATTCTGCTTGTTTTTCAGATGGTTGGTGTGTCAGATGATGTGAATGAATACGCCATGGCACTGAAAGACACAGAGGAAAAAATCAGCCGCTGCCCAAAGAGGGTAAGTGTCTGGACTCCCAGCTTCCTTCTCTCTTAGAGCCTCAGTATCTGGCAAAAAGGATGAAGCACAGTGGGTGATTTCCAGCCTTGGAGCGGCCAGTGTCTTGGATGGGGTAGTAACCCATGCCTGGAGCTGGCAGCCACATTTCGTACTGTGCCAACCCATTGTACCACTGCCTCAAGGAACAGAGGGACTGAAGCAACCGCTTCAGCTTCTCCCGAACAAGCCATAGCAGCTTGCAAACCTCCATGTGCTGCAGACACCTTGGAGCCGGTCTCCTGGGGTCGGGACCCTCCAGTGCTGGACTTGGGCCACATCTGTCCTATTCCAGCTGCCAGAGACTGACTGTATCTGATGATGCATTAAAAAAGTATCCCTGACAGCAGTTGACCCTCAGCTGCTGCCCACACTGGACCAGCATCTGCATCAGGCCTTGTGGGCTGCAGCTGAGAGCGATAAGTGCTCTTTATAGCACTGCTTCACACTCCCTCCGCAGAAAGGCTGCTGACCCCTTTCCCTCCTGCCAGTACTCCCTAGCTAGCCCCAAGGTGGTATTTGCTTTTGCATTGTTTGTCCCTCTCTGAAAAAGGATGCTGTAAATGGGAATTACATCTGCCCTTACATCTCTGCACTCTTTTCAGAGGAGAGACATCCATGAGGAACTGCTGAAGAGCCAAAAGGTCTTCTCCGAGAAGCTCAACCACCTAAGCCGACGCCTCGCCTGGATAAATGTCACCATTTATTCAAAGGTGGGCAGGAGCATAACGTGAGCACTCAGAGGAGACTGAGCAAGTGTGCCTCTGTATCTGTGCTGCTCAGCTCACATGTCACAAATGTCATTTTCCCTGGTGCTGGAGCAATGCAGATGATCTGTGGGGCTTGTTTTTCCCTTCTTTTGCATCAGAGACTCCTTCCTAGGCCTGGACCCCATCCTGTCCCAGGTTTGGTCCCATAGTGTTTGTTAGGACAGAGCCCAGTCTGTTCTGAGCTGTGTGTGGTGCTGTAAGCTTTCCCTCGGGGCATCAGGCCTCTCTGCCCTGCTGACGGAAGGGTGCAGGTCAGAGGGAGATTCAGTTCTCAGGGCATGTTTAGAGGATGGAGGCTACTGTGAACCATTTCCCTGAGCTGTGCTGTGCATCACAGGGGGGTCTCACTAGTACTGCTCTTCCTGAAATCTGCGGGATCCAAGCCTAGGGTTTTTCGTTCAGGTGTTCTCCCCTTCTTCACTTGGTACCCCCATAGAGTGCATTCTGCATTTAGTAACAGAGTGACTGTTTGCACAGGTTGTCCCTTCTTCCCTTCATTCACCATTTTCCAGGATAAAGTCTCTGGTCTGTTTTCTCATGAGCAGTTTGTGCTCTTACGCTCTGCAGATCTCCTCTTCCTGTCGTCCCTTGCACATTGCTGTGCCCCATCTGTGTTTGTAGCTTTTTTGTGCTGAGGAAGAAGACGCGTTTCCCTGAACATGCAGTGGCAGCAGGGTCTCTGCATGTGTCCCAGGATGTAAACGGGGAGGGGAAGAGTGGTAGTTCCTATGAACCCGTCTGGCAGAGCTGCAGTGCCTGATCCTGACTCACGCGCTCTTTGCTCGTCCCTTCCTTCACTCCCAGAGCAGGACTGCAAGGCAAAGTGCTGCGCTGCAGAAGCTCTCCAGCTGCATTAGCATAGCCCATGCTTGCCAGAAAATAAACCTTTCTTCCTGGACTGCTCTTGAAAGGCTGAGGGGCATTAGCAGTGTGCATTGCAGGGATCGCTGCGATGGCCCGTGCAGAAACACTATTCGTGTCTCCAGATGATCTATTGTCATATTAAACGCAGGTACCCGCCTCCCGTCAGGAGCGCGGTGTCACCTTTCTGGATGAATCAGCAGCATCTGGGAGTGAAGGTTACAGCCTTCCCTGCTTGTGCTCCTGCCTTGGTCTGCTTGGCCGGCAGGGAGAGCAGGTCACTAGCTGGCTCGGGCTGTGAAATGTGCCTCAGGAGCCGAGTGGGCTCGCTCTGGGGAGGAGTGTGGCTACACGGAGAAGCTTGTCCATACTGCCCGTACCTTCAGGGCTCCATCTCACAGCTGTCACAGGTGCCTGCAGTTTCCCAATGGAGACATCCACCCAGCAGGCTCCTGTGTCCCTGGGACTTGTGTGCAACGGAGGGACACATCTATATGAGTGTTGCAGGCACTGCTGATGCTGATGGAGAGAAAGGGACTGGTTCTGTCTAGAGGTGAAATCCTGCTCTGTGCTGAGGTGTCAGAGCATGGGAGAGGCTGCTTCTTCCTCAGGGGAATTAGTCACTAGTTTATTCTGAGCTGAGGGATTCAATGTTAGACGAAAGGGAGTGCTACAGCTTAAAAACACTCTTAGTTTTAAAGCAGATAATCCTGTCTTCAAAACATCCCTTTGGGAAGACCATTTCAGCTTATTTTGTTACGACACTCTATTTGTCCATCACACTGTGGATAATCACATTTTTCTTTGTATCCTCTTGGTGTAGGCTTTCTTCTAGCTTGGCAATACTTGAGATGACTTTTTGAGATTATCAAGTCTTAATAAAACCAAATGCAGCTTTCTTTACCTTAATGCTGTCTGCAGAATTGCTTTTTATCCTGAAAGAAACAGTTGAGCCGAGATGTGTGTTGGTGTCAAGATAAAGATGTCTTTTAGTCAATTTAGTTGATTTACACTAGTTCAGTCTAATTTACAGAACAAACCCATGTAAATCTCCCAAAGATGGTAGCAACATACTTTAGAAAAGCCACTAAGCAAATGAAATCACTTCTCTCCACCTCTGATTTTAATTTTTTTTAATTAGAAATGTAACTCTCCTCCATCTATTTTTATGCAAATTGCTATTGCTTATGCTATTTCTTGACATTGCAGGATATGAAATAATATTTCCTCTTTTTATGGCTTTGTTGGTGCTGATTTTTATAGCTTAAAGTTATGTAGATGCCCTTAAATTTCCTGTTTTTAATTTAGGACCCCCTGAGTTTTGCTTAGAGAAGCAAGAGGCCAATGTTCCTCAGGACAGTAAATCTGGTTGAATGGCTGGCACAAAATCCGAAAGGCTGTGGCCGCCTATTGCAAAGATCTGAGTTGGTATGAGCTTTCAGCCTGTTCCCATTTAATTCCTACAAAGGACCAGCTTTCTTTCCAGCAGATTTATGCTGTGTTTGCTAGTGCCTGCTTTCCTTCAGCCGGTGTACTTGGAATAAAAACTAGCACGCCTTTTTTGCGATCAGGCCTGTGTGGTCAGATATATCCTACCAAGGAGTAGTTCTTGGAGGGTTTCAAGGCTCAGTGAGATAAAGCCATCTTATGTCACACTGGTGATAGTTGTGCTCTGAGCTTGAGGTTGTTGTAGAGATCTCTGATTGTTCCTTCCACCTAACACTTCTGTGGCTCTGTGAAAAGACTGAATGGCACAGATCTGGTTAATGAACTTAGAGCGGTGGTCTGAGGAATGCCTTAGGCATGGAGATGTTTCTGAGGTCTAAGCATGATGCGGACTGTTGCATTTCTCCAAAGAGAAGCTGGACAAAACTGAATGGGGATTGTTGTGTTCTCTCTGGCCAGGAGAAGATGCAGGATGTATATTGGCTGCTGCGAGTGTGCATCCGCACTATCGAGCATGGCGACAGGACGGGCTCACTTTTCGCTTTCATGCCGGAGTTCTACCTCAGCGTGGCTATGAACAGCTACAGCGCACTCAAGAACTACTTCAGCCCTGTAAACAGCATGGAGGAACTTCCAGGTAAGGGGATGGGGAGGCCTTGCTAATTCTGGCCTGATAAAGTCTAAAGCAAGCCGCATCCTTACGGTAAAGAAGTGGTAGTTGGGCATCATCCCTTCTGTGTCCTCTCCTGGTTGTGATGTGCTGCAGAAGCATATTGTCTGTGTGCTGTGGGCAGGCGCTGAGTGCTGTTCCTTGAGTACGTACCTGCTGGTGAGCCGTGACTGTTGCTGAGCTTAAGCAGAGAGCCTGTGCCTTGTCTGAAGTTGTCGTAGTCTTGGCTATAGTGAAAATCACTGGCAGCTATGGATTTTGTTTCCAAGGAGGCACCAGGAATGGGCTGGGATGCTGGAAGGTGTGATTGCCCTGGCAATGTGTGCCACTGCCTGCTGGTCTCTGGGTGGGGGAAAATTGTGCTGTGAGTGCAGGAATTGAGACTGCTTTCAAATATCCCTGGGATTTGGATGCATTCCTATGGAGGTGACCACCCACTTGATGCCAAGAGTCTGTGTTTAGGTGGATTCCCTCTGTGCATGTTCTGTGCTTTTCCTGACTTAAGTGATCCCAGCAAGCTCTTAGCAAATTGTTCTGTGCTTTCCAGAGCCCACGAAGGTAAGAAGAGCTTCTGTTCCCACCATAAAGACATAGCTAATGTGTTCACATCCATTAAGTGGCTGCTGTTCAGGGAGCAGCAGAATTAAGCAGTAGCAGATTTCTTTGGGGCCTGCAGGCTGGACATGGCTTTTCTGCGTAGATCTAGGGTGTTATTTGTGTTGCTCAGGCTCTTCTGCACTAGGCGTCTCTCCCTTGCCATCCAACTCAGCTGCATGGTTTTATCTTTCTCCTGTTTTAGACTCTGCAGACCGAGGCGAGCGGCTCTATTGGAGATGAATGTGCTTTCCCAGCTGTCTGTTTTGACAGCTAGAAAAAACTGCAAAGTTAGCTCTAGCAGGAAT